TTATTCTAACTTGAACATTTTGTCAATGTTCATTGTGAAAAGCAACAAAATATTACAGTAACAGATCTGCCATATTTATGTTGCATTTGGGTTTTCCTTAACCTTAGTGAAGTCACCCTCAGAACGTTAGAACGTAGCTCTGCAAATACATGAAATACAAATCTAGTCATTCGGTCTATTAGCGCAAAGCAACATTCCTCAAACCCTTTTGTTCAGAATACTAGTCCTGAGATGCTAATAGATCTCCCATGAAATCAAGTTTTCAAACCAAGTAAGTTTGGAAGCATTTCTTTCTGGATAACATTCTTGAAATTTCTTCATGCACATACTCATAGCAAAGGTTTATGAAAGTACTGTTATAAAGAAGCTGCTTTGTTAAAACTATAATTTTCTAAAACTTTTTGAACTTTCTTTAAAAAAAAACACCTACAAACATCTTGTAGAATAAGTGTCTACAAAACATATTTTTGGAATGCTATTGTTTAAAAAACAGGAATGAGGGAACTATTGTATCTATATGTAAAAGGGGAAAAAATCCACACAAAAAGCAGAGTGTTTTAATAATACTTCATTACTTCATGTTGAAAAAACTTGTTGCAAGTCACTAGAAGAGTGAATTTGTGAGCAAGCCATATCATGGTTATAGCTTAAAGTGAAAATGGAATGCAGGTCTCCCCCACTATCCAAAAGTAGAGCGTTCCTATGAAAACTTTCATAAGCCGAAATGACAGATGTCAAAGAAGCAATTGCCAATAACATGAAAAAGTTTTTGAGTGTTTCCAGACCTCCCCCAAAAAAACTGTTTAGGCTTTTCCAATACTTCAGGACATATCCTCCTAATGGATGCACAAAATAAATCAAGATAAAGCACAGATGCTCAGGGTGCCTGGGTGGCTCAGTCAGTTGAGCCCCCAACTCTTGGTTTTGGCTTAGAATGTGACCTTGAGGTCATGAGATTGAGCCCCATGTTGGGCTCTGCACTCAGTTGGGAGTATGCTTGAGAGTCTCTCTCTCTCTCACTCTCCTTAGTAAATAAATCTTTAAAAAAAAAAAAAAAGAAAACGACATAGTACAGATGCTCATAGACAGTTCAAAGTTCTGGTGGCTTCATGCTGAGATGCTGAGCTTCATTCCTGGGGAAGGAGCGTGGTGGGACCACTCTCACTGCTGGGGTGTGCACTGTCTCTATAAGGGCTCACTGCAAAACAAACACTGAATACTACTTTTGCTTTTCACCCTTTCTTAAAAGTGAAAACCCTCATCTGATTTCTTTCTGTTAATGAGAACAGATATGAATGTAGGTTTTTCACCAAAGTGAAGGGGCATAATGCAAACTTTCTAAAAACTGTATCTTAATATATTTTATTTTTATTGAATGCCATTTACTCTTTTTTTTAGGATGATAATGGGATAATAATAGTTTTCCTTTTTTTTTTACATCATTTAGATTTCCCATATTGAGTACAAACTGCACTTTAAAAATTAAAATACTGGGACACCTGGGTGGCTCAGTAGTTGAGCGTCTGCCTTTGACTCAGGGCATAATCCCAGGGTCCCAGGATCGAGTCCTGCATCCGGCTTCCTGCATGGAGCCTGCGTCTCCCTCTGCCTATGTCTCTGCCTCTCTCTCTCTCTCTCTCTCTCCCTCTCTCTGTGTCTCTCATGGATAAATAAATAAAATCTTTTTAAAAAGATTAAGAAACTACAATACTACACTTAATATGTGAAGCTGTGAATTACACACCAGGCCAATTTTTTCCCATTGATTTTTATTCTGTGGCCTATTAAAATAGTTGAGATTGAAAAAAAGTCACTTTCTCTCCAAATTCTCATCATTGAAATATGGATGTTCATGAGCATATTTTCCTAAAATCTTCTGGAGTTTGAAAATTTCCCAGGATCTCCACCATAGATTCACGCTTTCTTAATTTAAAATAAACGTGCTTGAATAGATCATTTGCAATTCTCAACAGGAAGAATTGAGGGCCTGAATACCTAAAACACAATGCTCTGGTTGCCACAACAAAATGTTGGATATGCATTTACCTTTACCCCGGTAATAGAAACGTGTGCTATCTCAGGGTGAGCACTTCTAAACTATGCATCATTCCTGGCTTATTACACTTATTACATTCCTTATTACAGTGAGGAAAGACCACTGCTCCCCTATACCCTGCTGTGTGTTCCCAGAGCCTTGTCCTGTCCTGGGTGCCCTCTGATCCTCTTTGCCCGGCAGAGACCAGCCCCAGGCTCCAGCTTCCTCTCCGAGCCAAAGCTTCCCTCCCATTCAAACTCTCCTAACTGCAGCATCTAGAACCACAAGCACCGCAGTAAATTAATGATATAAACTGGAGTTTCTTTTAAAAGAAACATTGATTTTAAAAACATGATACATAAAACTAAAAAGAAAAAGAGGGGGCTAGAGGCAAGAGGGGGAAAATACCTATTCTTATCTGCTAACTCATTTAATCTTCCTGAGAATCATCAGCATATGTTTTAATTTGTCTTTCCTTAGCAACCATGTCTTCTTTGGCACCTGCCCACCATGACACATTTTGTCTAGAGAATTTGGTAAAAATATGGAACAGAGGAGGACTCAACTCAATTCTCCCCCACCTTTCTTTTTTTTTTTTTAAGATTTTATTTATTTATTCATGAGAGACACACAGAGAGAGGCAGAGACACAGGCAGAGGGAGAAGCAGGCCCCATGCAGGGAGCCCGATGCGAGACTCGATCCTGGGACTCCAGGATCACACCCTGGGCAGGCGGTGCTAAACCGCTGAGCCACCCGGGACGCCCTCTCTCCCCTCTTTCTTATTTCTCCTTCTCGCTAGTTCTATTAGGGATTCTCCCAAAAGACTCAAATGCCTGGCCTATTCTAGTGGCACAGGCTGAGGAAAGGTTCATCTGAGGAGCCCTGAGAGGGGTGAAGTCAAAACTATTGTCACAATAATATTAAGATGATTATTATTAACCACTTCTTTCTCTCACATTCCCTGATGAGCGCACATGTTTAGAAACCCACCACAGGTTTCTATCAGTAGAAATCTCTGGCCAGAAATGCCTGGATGGCTCAGTGGTTGAGCATCTGTCTTCAGCTCAGGGCATGATCCCAGGTCCCTTCTCCCTCTGCCTATGTCTCTGCCCCTCTCTCTGTATCTCTCATGAATAAATAAAATCTTTAAAAAAAAAAAGAAAAAGAAAAGAAAGAAGAAAAAAGAAGAAAATAAAAGAAAAGAAAAGAAGGGATCCCTGGGTGGCGCAGTGGTTTGGCGCCTGCCTTTGGCCCAGGGCGCCATCCTGGAGACCCGGGATCGAATCCCACGTCAGGCTCCCAGTGCATGGAGCCTGCTTCTCCCTCTGCCTCCCTCTCTCTCTCTCTCTCTCTCTGTGTGTGTGTGTGACTATCATAAAAAAAATTAAAAAAAGAAAAGAAAAGAAAAAAGAAAAGAAACCTCTGATAGTAGGCTGAGCACTTTTCTTCATCTGGTAGTAAGAACCAGTAGTCCCAGTTCAATTAATGGAAGTTGCCAGGCAATAAGCTACATAATTTCATAGGTACAAATATTTTGTTGTTATTACAACCCTAAGAGATAGATACTATAGTAGTTTTGCCAATGAACAAACTGAGGCCCAGAGAGATGTATTTATACATTTGTGGCCCCCACATGCTCCCTAGCCAGCATTTGAACCTTCCTTTATCACCAGTGGTTTTACCTCTACCAGTCCACAGTAACATTTGCCTGAATGATGACATGTTTCTTTGAAGAAGGGCTAGCAGCCATACAAACAACTTTATCTTTACATTGGGTGATAATTACGTTGGGTGAAAATGATAATAAAGGTTTTCCTCTAAATTGTGTAATAATTGAATTTTGAGCCTTCCAAGGTAGAGAATTGGATGTGATGCTTTATTTGACTGTCAGTAGATGCAATAATTTTCTCCTAATTTGTATGTGAGCCACCAGAGTACTTTTGATCAGAAGAAATTTTTTTTCCTTAGAAGTCAGAATTTCCAAGACTGAATGTTCTCAAAATACGAGGTCTATTCTGTGATGCTGGTTATATGGTACGATATGCAGATATGTCTCTGACATATCATGTCTCTGACTGAGGTTTGTTTTACGTGGTCATCAACGTTTTAAGAAAGACGGGCAGGACGGTTGTTTGCTATTCCACTTGCAAACACAACCAGAGGACACTAAACAATGGGGCACCCAAAAAATAAATAAAAGTTTTAGAAACACTCTCTGAGCATCTCACTACGATCTAAGAGTTCAGTGATATGATCCTTCATCTGGACCTGCCAGTCAACCAATATGGGTCAAATGTGTCTTAGACCAGAAAGAGAAAAAAAAAGACAGTCACTGATGACATGGCACCAAGCAATTGATAATATCCACTCTATCTGCTCAGTTGCCTGGCTGCCATGGACTTTATAGTTGTGCATATTATTTTGCTAATTAGCTCTTTAATTAGTTTTATCTGCACGGGTAATTATTCTTTGGTGAGGGTGGGTGGCGCCTGTTCTTTGACCATTGCTTCTGTTGACAATAAAATCTACTGTATGGATGTTTCTGAGGCATTACGGAAGCCTCCAAATTCTACACCATGATTTCTTTGAATAATTTCTTCTACTTCTATGTCATGGCCTAAAAAGCTTTTTATCATATCAGAAATGGCTAATTTGAAAATCTCTTCTCTAAAAATGTACATGACAGAGTTCAACTGCCTCTGACTACATTTGAATAACTCACTGTATGGCCTTCATAAGAAAGTTCACTGGGGCCCATTGTTTGGGATATTATTGACTTAACATTCATTAAGAGACTCATAAAAACTTAACTTCCTGCATGTTCAGGGCATAGTGTTTAAGCTGTAAATACGGCAATATGGGTGTAAATATTGGCTTAAAACTCGTCTTGGAGTCATTTATTTCCTTTATCTTAGTGTCTTTACATCACCATTCCCCCCTGTTTAGCCTGGCCCTTCCCCAGTCTTCAAATGTGTTCTCCGAATTCCCAGTGGCAGTTTTGTTGGGATTCTTCCCGAAAGAGTCAGGGGGCACCAAACTAGTATAATTTTTGTTCTCACTCTGTTCCAGACACTCCGTAGCGGCTGAACACGAAGACGGCACTCCACTGGGATGACCTTTGATTCTTGGCAGAGGAGAGCGATTTCACTGAGGGAATTCACTCCGGTTGATGAGTCTCTAGTGTTTGTTGAGATCTTTGTGGAAACAAACACTCAGAGGGTCTTTGTGGAAGAGTCCAGAAATAATTGAGTAAGCCAGGAGACCCTTATTCTACCTCCTTCAAAAAAAAAAAAAAAAAAAAGGCTGGATACACTTTCTTGTAAGGGCTCCCTAACTGATGGCCTTGTATAAATAATTGCTATTCCCCAGCACTTTCCCTTTTACTGAGAAAAATACAAAAGAAAAGTCAACCGAATCAAGACATAAATTCATTTTTACAGCTGAGTAAGCTTTGTCTTTGGTTGTTTTAAAAATGAAACAAATGGGAAAATATTTGTTAGAGAATAATAAACACGCCCAGGTATTTGCTGCTCTTCTCAGGCCAGGCAAGGATCGAAGTGGCTCGGTGAGACCACCTGTGTTTTTTGGTGTAAACCCAGCAGAGCTGCAGAATTTGTATAGTTGGTCTCAATCCAGCGACCTGGCTACATTCTTGGATCTCTTACTCAACATGAGGCATCAAGATCACTGGAAACTTTAACAAAAACATCAACAACTGGAAGAGCCAGTTAGCCTATGGTCTGACCCCCAGCCTGCACACCCTTACATCAATCTCCTTCGAATCTTCTGGGAAATTAGTTAAGTGTTCAAGGCAGGAGAAGGGGCAGCCTGAGGGTACAGCTGCTCCGTCTCCCTGAGGAGATGAAGAATCTGCAATCACCCCAAAGCGTACATTTCGATGGCTGCTTTTTAATCTGCTTTCCACTTGGCCAAATAAATGCCTCCATAATAACTCTAAAAGCATCAAAGAAAAAGCAGCACACTCTGTAGCATTCCAAAATGGAATCCAATAAAAGAAACATAACTCAAAATCATTTCAGAAGCAATTAATACAGTGCTACTCAGAAGCAGCTCCTCAAGGAAGTTTGCTCTTCGGCCCAATAATCTAAAACACATCCTGAAAACAGTAGCTGAGGAGGAAGGAAAAGATAACGAATCTTATTTTCTACATGGGTAATTATTGGCATACTTGTCATTTGGTATACTTCACAATCATTTGGATCCTTTCTGGAGCAGCTATTTTAGATGTTTTTATTCAACTTCCCAAAGGTCTACTTAGTTTGACTACCTTTAGCTCCAGATGGCGAAACGACTGTATGAACTCTGACAGAGTCATTATTGAGCCAGCCGGCCTTGGTCTCAGGACCAGCTTCTGGAACCCATCTATGTAACTGTGGACAGGTAATCTGACCCCCTTCAACTCAAAGTTTTCCCATAAAAATGAAAAGATAGGATAAGATTCTGGTTTCCTATAATGCGTTTCTTGAACACACAGGGTTAGTAGGTATTTTGTAGAGAAAGATTTTTACTTTTACTTATGTTTCAGAAACACTATATTAAGCAAAGTTAAATGGATTTTTACAACATGATTTCTCATATCTTTTAATATACTAATTACTAACATAATTTGGGGTGCTATGCTATGTGACGATGTCAGCTTATTTGACCATGGGACTCTTGTTCGTAGACTATCATGGGACTAGTGCAATCTAAGGTCGCTTCCAGTTCTAAAATTCCATTTTTCAATCTGAAGTAGCTAATTGAAAATTGGCTCGTATACAAAGGTCATCATCACAGCAATTATTAATCATCATTGAAAGATGTACTTCACAGGTGGATATGTGGGAACATGGAACACAGCAGGCATATATAAAATCCTACCTCAGCAGGAGGGTTTTCCTATTCTCTACCTATTCTCCTCACCCTTGGGGGGCTGATCTCCCATGCACACATGGCCTTGGTCAGAGAGAGAAGGTCTAAGACTCATCACAATGTAAACTGGTATTACTCATTACTGGTATTACTCATTGTACCCTGTTATTCTCCTTGCCTTTCCTAGGGGCAATATAAAGTTTAAGTAATCAACAAGGTCTGTTTCTCTACTCAGCATTATATCCACCACACATACATCATTTCTTTTCCAGAAAATGAAATAAATTTTATTTTAAAGCAACAGACTCAGTTATTGCCTTATACTTTAACTGGAATGCTTTCTTCAATCTAATATTCATATATGACTGACCCATGCCCAATATTGGATTTTATAAGTCCTTTCCTCATTATTATGATTAAAACTTAGCATCAGAGGTTAGAAAAGCAAAAATGATGGTAAATACAAATTAACTGAATTGTCCTTGCAGTGTCTTTCTAGTTTGTTTTCTTATCTCAGTTGTCTCCTTTTCCTAAATTTTAGGTTTAAAAATGATCTGTGATGACTTTATGTATATGATAAAGGATATAAAGTTAATTAAGATTTTAAGTAGATTAATATTTTAATTATAAGTTTGAACATATAATTCTAAATAAAAATAAATCATCATATTTTTCCTTGTCAACAGTTATTCATCTCCCTCACTTTAATGATTAAGTCCAAGTGTGGTCATGCCAAAACTTGTTTAACACTTGGTAGCTGTAAAAATACTCCTCTCAAGTCTCCTATCGCATAGAGTGTAACTGACTGATGGCTTCAGCTGCTGCTCTCTGAATCACCACTGAATTTGAGCAAAGGTCACATTTCCCATGAGCATTCCTGAGAGACACAGGACTTCTTTGATAGGCAAACTTGGCTTGAAGACTCTATCAACTTTGCCAAAACTGTTCAACTGCACCTACTGTCTAGGGCTCCTCCACTCAAACTTCCTTCCTTCCCTCTCTCTTTTCAGAAGGGTGAGACCTGCACTGTGGTCTGACAGTTCTCCCTCCCCATTTTCCCCACTGGCATTTACCCTAATAAATCTCTTGTATTGCTAATTTTATCTTGGCTTCTGTTTTTTGGAGGAGCTGAGCTAACATGAACCAATTCCCTATTTTGGGGCAGTTGGGTTATTGCAAGTTTTTGTGTTTGTTTATTTTTTAAAAATAGCATTGCCATGAAATTTTTATAAGATCTTATCCCTGACTGTTGTAAATTAATTCCTTAGTCTATAATCTTAGAAGTTAATTGCTGGCAGCACAGAAAGTATATTTTTTAAAACTTTTGACACATGTTGAAAAAATGTACTCTAGAAGTTGTCCCAATTTTCATAGCCAGAGCAAATTCCTTTTCTCTTTTGGGTTGTTTATACTTTTTCTTAGTGACTTGTAAGCGAGTTTTACATATTAAAAGCAGTAAACTTAGTGAAAGAATTTTTTAAAGATTTTATTTATTTATCTATTTATTTATTTAATTATTTAAGAATGAAACCGCACACACACATACACCTGGAGTTGAGGGAGGACCAGAGGGGGAGTAGAGGGGAAGGGAGAGAATCTCCAGCAGACTCCAGCTGAGCTCAGAGTCCAATGCAGAGCTCTATCTCATGACCCTGAGATCACGACCTGAGTCAAAACCAAGAATTGAACACTTAACTGACTGAGCTACCCAGGCACCCCAGAGAAATAATTTTAAATAATAGCAACCATTGACATAAATCATCAATCCTAAATCAAGTTAACTGTACTAAATGAATTCCACCTACCACAATAAAACTTAAGCCTCCCCCACACTCATGGATACACACATAAACTCCAATATCTAAAAAAAAAAATTGCACGGGGGATTATTAAATTGAACAAAGCAAAATAGAAAAATTTATCCTCTGGAAGAATTCCTATGGTGCCAATAACGTTAAGGAGCAGCTCGGTCTCATATTGCTGGTAAATCATGTTGGGAAGCAGCTAAAAGAATCTGGCCAGAGATAGCAGAGGAATTTTGTGTGGGCATGTGCATTAGTTTACTTTCCAAAATAATCCCATCTGGATCCATGAGAAATGTTCTATCTGTTTCAGCTCATTAGGAGACAAGAGTCAAGCAAACACACTCATTGATTTAACATGCTGGATCTGTGAGAAATGAGTCATCCACTGCAATTTACTTCACCAACTTTGGAGATAGATGACCCACACACATTTTCTGAGTTGCCTGTTATTTTATAGCTTAGAAAATCATAATATCTTATAGACTGTCTCTAAATCGAGCACCCAAACTAATTAGAAACTTGATGACTGAGAGAATGAATGGTTTCAAGCTCAACTCTAACATATTTTAATTGATTCTTAAACTCTTGGGGTCAAAGAGACATCAGTAATTTTAAGTAAAATAACCCTGGACAAAGATAACTTGTAAAACCTTAGTTTTCTACACTCTGAGTCTCAGCTCAAAAACAGGCTTCAAAAAGATACTTTCATAAGTTTAGAAACTGTACCATTTCCCCCCATGTAAACAATGCTTCTTTCCTGTTCATTTCTACAGACAAGTACTGATCAACTATTATATTCCCAAGTGAATAAAAAAAAATCTTACTAAATCCATGATAGACTCTATGGGAACTGTGAGAAGTTACAAAGAAGGCCTGACTCTCCACCCTTAGGGTCTCCCTGGCTGGTAGAAAACAGAAATGAAAATGTCTAAAAACCATTTAGGTCCGCTTAAAAGCTCCAAAGTATCAACTTACTGTTAAGGGGCACTAATAGAGACGGAGCTTAACATTTGCATTACTGACTTGAGCAAAACAAAGGAAATGAAAGCAGGAGCCTATTAGAAGGACCAACGAAAGATGCAGCCCTTCAGAGTATTACATATTCGTTTTCCTGGAAAATGCCTGCTATTTTAACAGGCATATCTCTTGAAGCAATAATCTATGATCATTAGTGTGTTAATATCTTTACAACAAATCGCTCCATTTTGACTTTGACTTCTAGACCATTAACAAAATGGAGGTATGTAGTTGTGTGTGTGAGTCGTGTGTGTGCACACGTGTGTGTATTATTATGTTAATTGTGTGGTGTATACTACTGTTAGAATCCTTTTCAGTGTTGGTATAATAACACTAATGACTGTAATTTTAAATAAACAATATTAAGTAAATCTACAAGCAAAACCACCCAAAATAGTGTGAAAAATGTAAAAGCTTGTATTTCTATAAAATTAACCAAACCACTTATATTGAGTTTTTTAGGATCAAATGATTTAAAATAATGTTTTCTCTATCTAAATTATACTGACAGAAATGTATCTGTTTCTACCAAGGCCAAAGAAGTTGGTAAATTGAGGACAAACGCAGTGTCTTCTCTGGCAGTTTGCCAATTTAAATTGCCAACATTTGGAATGGATGTATTATTGTTTACTTTTTGTCCTAGAGTGTTAAATTAATGGTTTCAGGGAGCAAAGTTAAGGACTGTGATATCTATTCCAAAAATGAATACATTTTAGAGGAAAGAAGAGTTCCTGCATATTGTGGCTAACTGATGGCCACCCAAAGATGTCCATGTCCTAACCCCCAGAACCTGTGACTATTTTATATTATATAGCAAGAAGGAATCAAACTTGTAGATGGAGTTAAGTTTGCTAATTAGCTGAACTGAAAATAAGATCATACTGGATTATGGATTATGGAGGGCCTAGTGTAATTGCAAGTGTTCTTAAACGGATAAAAGAGAAGCAAAAAAGTCAGATCCGGGGAGATGGCACCCTAAGAAAGACTAAACTGGCCATTGCTGGCTCTAAAAATGGAAGGAGCCATAAGCCAAAGAATGAAATTAGTTTATGGAAGCCAAGAAGGGCAAAACAAAACAAAACAAAACAAATCCTTCCTAGGGTTTTCAGAAAGGAGCACATGGGCAGCTCAGGTGGCTCAGTGGTTTAGTGATGCCTTCAGCCCAGGGCCTGATCCTGGAGACCTTGGATTGAGTCCCACGTTGGGCTCCCTGCATGGAGCCTGTTTCTCCCTCTTCTTGTGTCTCTGCCTCTCTTTGTGTCTCTCATGAATAAATAAAATATTAAAAAAAGAAAGAAAGAAAGGAGTACAGCCATGCCCATACCTTGATTTTAGCCCAGTGAAAGCCATTTCAAACTTCTGACTTCCAGAACTGTAGGATAACAAATCTGTGTTATTTTAAGGCACTAAGTTTATAGTAATTTGTTATAGCAGCAATAGGAACAGGAAACACTGTATTGTTAGTCAGTCATACGGGATTTTCAAAGATAAAGGTACATACCTTTACATACATACATACATGTGTGTATGTATGTATTTCCAGGGTTATTAAGTCTGAATTTTTAATCATGATAATAGGCTAAATTCTAAATTCAGATAAAGTTTTCATGGATGGTTCTTTTTATGAGAGTATAATGCAGTAGTAATATAAAACTTTGAAAATCTTGAATCATAAGAAGTACTCATTTCTATTAACTTTGAGGAGAGATATATGACTAGAGACTCATCTCTGGGGAAAATAACATCTGATTATTTCAGACTGAGTGTTTTAGTCAGGAAGCTAATGGAAGATGTCCTCCTCATAAAGAACAAGAAGACCTAGGGTCCAGGAAGGAAAGGATTCAACCCAAAAGTGACAAAAGGGAGTCCTCAGGATTATAGTGAAAGGAGATCCCAAGATGATAGTAGAGCACCAAGAATAAGGGAGGCCAGTCAACATCAATCCTCTCCAGGAGGACATCTTCCAAAAGTTAAACTGATAGAATAAATGGTGCATTAGAGCATAAGTTTGGGGGGTGCCTGGGAGGCTCAGTTGGTTAAGTGTCCCACTCGATTTTGGTTCAAGTCATGATCTCAGAGTCATGAGATGGAGCCCTGTGTTGGGCTTTGTGCTCAGTGGGGAGTCTGCTTCTCTCCCTCTTCCTCTCCTTCTACTCTTTCTCCTGCTCTCTCTTACTCTCTCTCTCAAATAAATAAATCTTAAAAAATAATAATAATAATTTCACGAAAAAACAAAAAGTAGTGCAGAAAAGGATAGTAATAACATTATAGAATTTAGCTGCCAATAATTCTTTCATGATAACAATAATGCAATCCAGAAAATTGACTAACCAACATTACAACATTAACATTAAGAGAATGGGGCATGGGAACGTTGTTTGTGTGGTGGAAGATGGGGTGTGAAGGAGCTCCAAATCACTGTTTTCCAAAGTGGGAAGTCAATAAACAAAACCTATATAAATAAGAAATACCTACAATTTCAAGATCAGAAATAGTCATTGGGAGGTAAATACCAAAAGGACAGTTCTAGGAGTTGAAAGTGGTTTCAACTAGAAAAAAGGAGAGGAGTAGAAGGGCATTGGGTAGCCATGGATCTCAACAAGCCTCATATAACTACCCCATACTTTAGACTACACATATGTAATTAATTGTGTTCAATAAACAACCTAATAAAATTGAAATGTTACATTAAGAAAAGAAATGTTACATTTTAATAAGCACCCACACCTCCCACCTTTACTGAACCCACAACTTATATTTCTCCCAGAGTTTTTGTTGTTGTTGCTGCTGCTGCTGCTGATAGGATGGTACAAATTAGCCCTTGGGCCTCTTTCTCAAGCTTTCCTAGTGAATTCACCATGGGATAATGAGGTCTGAAAGTTTGTGTTTTGGAAGGAGGATCATTAAACACACCTTATCTCCTTAACCTCTCTGAGACTGGCACCCACTGAAACGCATACTCAATCCAAATATCTTCTATGTTGGTTATAAGCCTGGATTGGAAAATAAGATTTGGGTTTTTAGTTGAAAGGAGATTTCTCTCAAATTTCCCAGGAATCTGGACATAGAAACCCCTGTGGGAAGAACTGTGAAGAGAAGAGGCACTGCTAAGTCTACAGAACAAGGGCAACCATCAGGGGGTAGGGGGGCAGAGCCCAGGTGGACCTCTGACCTGTCTTTAAGTAGTAGGCTCTGGGCCCTGAGCCAGGTGTGACTCGATGGAAGGGACAGGAAAAGGACAAGTATGTGCCCACCCTCTAGAGAAAGTAGACTGAAAAAGGAAGAGACCTAAAGCTCCTGAGTTACATATGCAAAGTCTCCTTGTCCTACCTCAGCATGTTGCTCTTGGAAGATTTGAGGGGGAAAGCATGAAATAAAAGGTGGAAGCCTTCTGCCCAATAGTTCCAAGAAGTTATAAGTTTTTGCCTTAAGAGGTTTGAATAAAAGGAAGAAAATAAAGTGGTCTTTCCTATATGGAGAACTGGAAGAGGGCAAATGGTTGCCAACAGTCAGACAACAGGTATTTATTGGATTAATGCCCTATATCGGGCATTGGACACCTTTATTGCAGTTCCTGTGCTTTGCAAACTCTGATGTCTCAGTAAAACTTACAGAACTCACTGATTCCTAGCACCATAACAACTTGAATTTTGTTCCACTCTCTCTCTATCCCTGCTTCTCATCCTTTTTCTGGGGATGTTTCTCCACTTTTCTTCCATTTTCAAGTCTGGTTGAGATATCTATTTGACATAGTTCTAAAATAACCCACAGCTAAAACATAGCCAAGCACTAAAAATATAAGCTAGCAACAAGAAAAGAAGCAGGTACATTTTCTTTATGTTACAGCTTCATAATATTTTATCTATTTTGCAGCCAGCAACAAAGCAAACAGATAAAATTTTCTCTACTACTCCAGAAATACTATTCATGTTTTTTGAACCTTTATACTAGAAGAAAGCTCCTTCTTATGAAGTCATTTCCTTCCTATAAATCAAACAAAATTATTTCATAGAATAAAGTTTTTGCTTTCCAGCATCAATGATAGCCTATAAATCTGGAAGAGAGGGCAAGGAAAAACTGTCTACATCAAGGTAAACTCTCTGAGGATGTAGGGGCGGCCTTCCCAATAGCCAAGTCCACCAATGCCAATATACTACCTTCTGGAAAATAGAGAGGAGCCCTAGGAGGAACTGAGGGGACTAGGAGTCTAGTTAGGCATGAAATAAAGTTCCAGAAGTAAAATATATAAAAATCAAGAAGAAGAAGCAGAAATGAAAAAGAGCTAAAGATACTTTGCTCTGAATTCTCTCCTAAGGCACAATAGTGCAAAACTAAAGTAGCCCAGTGCATTTGCCATTGCTGTGAGTGTCTACCATATATCAGGTAGAAGACAGACATTGTCTTGAATCTTCACAAGAACCTTGCTTGTGAGGCATTTCCACCCACTTTCACAAATGAAGGCTGAGGTGCAAGCTGGTCAAACAACTTGTTCACGACCACCCAGCTGTTACATACTATAGCCAGGATCCAAATCCTAATCCATCAGATGAATAGACTCCAAAGCCATCCCTCTCTCTGCCATTCCAAACTGTCAGTCAGTGTTCCACAATGTTTGTCAAACTAATGAATAAACGCAAGAAGTGGGTTCAGAAAAAAAGGATTGCAACTATTAGAAGAAAGAAATAAATAGACATAAGACTTCAGTATGGACTTTGACATTTTTTTTCTTCTTAAGAATGAAGATCTAGAATTGAGATTTAGTTGATGAATAGAAAAAGAAAGACGCCTAAGAGTAAAGAAAAGCTGCTAAAGAGTACCAACTATTATTTTAAAGAATAATCTCCCTAGAACAGTAATGAAAGCCATCATAGGGACATTGAAAACCAGCTGAAAATAATATTAATGGAAAGTCTGAAAAAAGAGGAACAATTCTAGCAGCAAAATCATAGATTAATTGTTACGTTGATTCTATTTATTTCAATGATGTTATACTATGGAATTCATGTGGCTCCTAATTAACTCAAGGCTGCATAAGATTCTTACATTTATTGAACTTCATAAGGGGAAGCAATAGAATATATATTTCAGCATCTTAAGTGACATTAACAAATGATAATGATACTTATCTCTGGGGATATTAGATACTAATAACATTGCTTATTCGTGTAAGTGCCAAATGCTTTTTAGATCTTACAGTTCTACTTAAATTAATATTATCCATTAATTCTATCCTCTGACACTACGTTCTACAGGTTAATTATATATCTTAGGTTGTTTCCTTGTTACCAGTTTTACTTGTCTTTAATTGGGTCTTCTTTTGTTTGAAAGAGGTCTGATTGCTCTCATTAGATTCATTGCCTTCTTTAATTAGTTTAGCTGACTATTAAGTCGACTGCATTATCAATTCTGTGATCTCCCCTGTGCCTAATACCACCTTTAATGCTGCATTCTTTATATAGAATTAAGATAGACTTTCACCAATAATGTGATGTAGGAAAAATGCGGGATCTCCGTTCCCTTTCCAGTACTGTGCCTTCCCTACTGTATACCTTCTTCCTCATCTATCACCTCAACACTAGATCACCACAGTCATCATCACTTCTATCAGCATCACTACAACCATCACCACTAAGTCCTCCATTAACATATTTTCTAGCATACAGATCTACACTCATGATTTGTGGGGTTTGAGCATCACCCCAAGTATATGCTGAACCTCTTAAATAATCTTGTCAAACATAGTTTCTGTCTTCCAGAGTTTAATCCTCTCTAGCCACATTCCCCACTTGTTTTCTTCAAATTTCTTTCATTCAAACTAGCCAACTTACCATTCCCTTTCTGCAACTTGACCCCATCTCCTTATAAATCTGTATAGACTTTTCTGCGTAAGATACTTTCCTTCCCAAATCATCAAGATACAGTACAAATGCACATACTTCATGAAACCTACTCTGCTCTCTTCTCCATAAGTTCTGTCTCTCCTGTACCTTCTTATCTGCACATCCTTTACATTATCAGTCTCTCTTTTATATTAAGATTTTATGTCTTTCACATGGTAGAGCTTAATGTACATTTACTGTTGGAAGGGATGAATGAGGGAATTTATAACACTGATCTCAGTTTAACTTGCAAGAATTACATGCCTTTCTCCTTCATTGGAAAGGAAGCAGAGGTGTCACTATACATACTCATATCCTCTTGGTACCTTTTAGCGTAAATCCCATAAGATAGACGCTCACTGCATGCCTACTTACACTAAATAAAGATAGTATTCAGATGGAAATAGTGAATGATTGCTGTGAAAATGGTAAAGTGTGAGAATATTTTTATAGCAGGAATGTTAAAGCATACACAAATGCCTTTGAAAATATAACTGACCAATTGCTCTGACCTTCCCACTCCAACTTGGAATTCTGAACTCAACTGAGTAAAAAGAAGTGTCTTCATAGATACAGAGGGGAGCTTGATGAACCTTGGTTCCAAGAATATGAAAAGGTCATATCTCTTAACTACCCATTCAGTTACACTATAAACAGGTCTGAAAGGCATGGCGAGAGAACAGCTTTCTATACTCTTGTTCTTCCCTGTTCCCCTGCCTTCCCAGGATTGATAGGCCTGCAAGGTGGTAGCAAGCAGTTATCTGCCCTGATAGGCACATGGTGGTTAGTTCTTAATGGTGCCTGGGCGGGTGCCTGGGTGGCTCAGTGGTTGAGCATCTGCCTTTGGCTCAGGGCATGATCCTGGGGTCCTGGGATGGAGTCCCACATCAGGCTTCTTGCAGGGAGCTTGCTTCTCCCTCTTCCTATGTCTCTGCCTCTCTCTGTGTGTCTCTCATGAATAAATAAATAAACTCTTAAAAAAGAAGAAGAAGAAGAAAAAGAAGAGAGGAGAGTTTACTTTTTAAATGATCCCTGTGCCTTTAAATGGCCTCCACAAGTATGCAGTGGGAGAAGTGAGTGCATGGTGTCATGGAAAGAACTTGATCTGAAGAATCAAGCTGATCTCACCTTGAATCCTGGATCCAGTACTTTCAAAAAGTCACTCTACTTCTTAGAGTCTCAGCATCCCCCGTCTAGGAAAAAAAAAAAAATGGAGATAACATCTTCTACTCATAAGATCATTAGAAGAATTTGAAGCTACATGGCAGATGGATAGACATACAGACATTGTCTAGAACAATACCTAGCATTCCAGAAAAAAAGACACAGACATAATGTTTTCAATGTTGTCAGGAACCTTAACTTAACTGGAATGGATCCCATATTTACCAAATTTAGAACCTAAAGAGTTTGAGATCTTAAACAAACACTGAGGCTAATACAGATCTATCAAAGGCCTGAGGTTACCCAGACATTTTGTTAACATTAAGTAAATCAGAGATCAGGGCAGTAAATATTTATAGCAAACACGAGCAATGGAAAGCTCTGTTGTGTCTTAGAAGTGATGAGTGATTCACGTCTTGCTGCATGTTCAGGCAAAGTGGAGTTGAGGAAGAAATTGCTTTTTTCCCAGTTACTAAGCAAAACTTTGGGAAAGAGGTGAAAATAGGGGAAAGAAGGGCCTGGTTCAGCTAAGAACAGGTAGTATTTCCAGGAATAAAGATTAAAAGAGAATAAGGAATTGATTAACTCATCTAAAAAGAATTCACAGGGACTATAAAATAGAAAAATAAGAAACACTTGGCTTTCTTTTCCTGGTGTGTGCTTACACAACCTCTCTGAGATTCATTCTATCATTTACTCATTCATTTATGTATTCACCTATTCAGTAGCTAACAGGTATTTAGTAGTAATCATGTGCTAAGTACTAAGTATTAAGAATGCAATGGAGAACATTACTGACCCCACTGAGTGCTGGGGTAAGCAATCTCTTGCATGTTTAATTACAAAAGGATGGATATATGCCATAAAAATCTTGTTTGTGACTCCATATAATTAGGGATTTGATGAGTTAAGTTATATATTTCTTCTATCTCCAAAGCTATGGTTGTGAATGTTCAAATTCACTCTGCCAACCTGCACTTTCCAGTTTGGTAAAAGTCATCAAACACAGAACATCGCCCATTTCCAATGTTCAGCATGTCTGAAATCCCTGATGGGCTGGTTATCACCTGTGCAGGCACTCATATGTACACTTGTCCCCACAAGCCTGCAGACCTAATCGCACACACATATGCATGCCCGGGAGTGGCTTGAAGCACTCAGGGAAATGTGGACATTAGAAAAATATCTTAAGAAATTATCATGGGGTTAAGATCATGCATTAAGGTCAATATGCAAATAACTATAACAAGTACTTGCCCTTTTTAATGAGATAACAATACTAAGATATTATCCTTTAGAGACCAAGTTTTTTTTATGTTTTTTCTGTCCGATGACTTAAATCTATGAACTAAAGAAACTTTTGTATGTATTAAATATGAAAACAATGAACCATTATGATTTTCTTAAAAAAAAAAAAACTCACGTAACTCAAAACTATTTAAGTGCTGAAACAACAAGCCTCTTCCCCTTCTCGTGTTTTGAGTCACTCATCTCAGATGTATTAGTCACATTCCTTAAGGCTGAACCTTACTTTATTAATTTGTGAAAATTTCTCCTCATATAAAGATATCTGCAGTTCTGCAAGAGCATTAGAACAAGATCAGTCTGTTCTCAACGTGACAAATTATACGGTTTCTATGTGAACATTGCCCTTCTTCATTCAGAGTCAGATAGCATGAGAGATGAAATGACTCACAGTTTCCTGACACTGGCGGAACTAGTTTACTTCTACAGCCCCTTAAATACCATCAGAGATGAACTTGATTCTTCCCAAGTGCAAGCAACTTTTAGAAGATCACATTCTAGATAAGTGATATATCATTAATAACATATGACTGCAGTGTAAGTTTAACAATAGAATTATATCCATAAAGATAAGAGAAGGAGCTGAGGAAGCCATGTTGTCCCAGACAAGACAACATTTCAACTTTCTTTTAATAATTTTTTTTAAAGATTTTATTTATTTATTCATGAGAGACAGAGAAAGAGAGAGGCAGAGACACAGGCAGAGGAAGAATTAGGCTCCATGCTGGGAGCCTGACGCGGGACTCAATCCCTGGACTACAGGATCACACCCTGGGCCAAAGGCAGGCGCTAAGCCATTGAGCCACCCAGGGATCCCAACATTTCAACCTTCTTACACAAATGTTTACCCATCAAAGCAGCCTGGTAATGTTAATTTTGGTAAGGAATATCAAAATATCAACATCTTTATGTTACAAACAGACATGTGGAGACCTATTTCAAATCATGAAACAAGTTACAGATAGATATATCAACAGTTTGTCAATGCTCAGACCTCCTGGGAAGCCCAGGATGAGGCTACATTTTTCTACTTGATTGAAATATTACTGGTTTCCTCAGCAGTCTCAAATTCTAAACCTATGCTATATGTTCTTCTTTTTAAAAAAGAGGCCCTGTGTGTCAGAGCCATAGCTCAACATATCTCAATATTTGATACGTAAATATAGAATGAGCACACAAAATGATAGATATTAGGGCCCTGCTACGTAAACTCTTTAATTTTTCTCCACCTTAATTTCTTCATCTGTTAAAAAAAAAAAAAGGATAATTAGATCTACTTCATGGGGATTTGTGAAGATTAAACAAGATAATGCATTTAACGTGTTACTCCACAAATGTTAGTTTTCATCTTCCCTTCTTAAAAAGTAACGAAGTTTTTCTCCACAAAGAAGATTGAATAAGGATATGTCTAACATTTCTCAAAAAATAATAATTTTGCAAAGAAAATAGTCACCAAAGGACTAATGGAAGCTCTATGTCAAAGACCTATTAGTATAGTGGTTACCACCCTAAGTTTAGGATCACCCTATAGCAAATGCCCCCCCCCATACTGCCTCTACCAGGCACATCCCGCATCCCAGATTCCATTGCAAGTTCCCTGCCCTTGGTATTGATGCTAAGGAGGATGAATTGTGTAGACAGGTTTAGTTTTCTTTCTCCCACAGTACATCTCCAGTCCATGCCATCCTCCCCAACCTCCTGGGCTGGGGCAAGATCGAGGCAGAAGCCAGAGTTAGCAATAACAATAGCCTCATCTCCTTCAAATCCTTTCTGAATGGAGGCAGTGTATAAATGTACAAATAAACAAATTGCAAGCTGGGAGGCAACTATAGAGTATTATAATAAGTGGGAAGAATGTGGGCTTTGGAGTCAGCTAGATGTGTTCTCTGCTACTCCCTAGTTGTGTGCTCTTTCGTGAATTTCCAAAGACCACAGAGCCACACTTTCTTCATTGTCATATGGGGCAGTAATAGCTGCTAAAGAAGGTTATTCTGAGAATAAAAGGATATAATGTAGGGGTGCCTGGGTGAATCAGTCAGTTGTGTCCAACTCTTGATTTTGGCTCAGTCATGATCTCAGGGTTGTGAGATTGAGCCCTGCATCAGGCTCTGTGCTGGGCATAGAGCCTGCTTACGATTCTCTCTCCCTCTCCCCCTGCCCCTCCACCTTTTCTTTCTCTCTCTCTCTCTCAATCTAAAAAAAAAAAAAAAAAAAGATGTAGTATATGTGAAATGACTAAAACAGGTTCCCAGAACCTGACTTTCCTATAGATATTAGTATCTTTCCAGATACACTGACCACAACATAGCATTTGCTGTATTGGACGAAATGGAGAAAGGAAAGATAGAAATTTTAGAGGTTGGTTACAAACAGCAAAATAATCGAAGTACCAGTGACGGTAGCAGTAAGTTGAAAAGATGGGCAAGGAATTAGCCCACCAGCCTAATATATACTGATTCAGATTTAGAAAGCGCAGAACATGTGGTATTTTTCAATAATGCCATGAAAAAGGGGAAATGAGAGTTAAGGAAAGGCAAATAACTTCTATCTTTATCAGGCTGATTTGGACTGTATAGTGAGCTCTGCAAGACAAAATGCAGAAAAGACTGGAAGATTCGTGTATTCAGTTAGTCCTTGAATACCAACAATTACCAAGTTAAAAATGAAAAAGAACAACATTTACAGGGGTTCTTTTTTTTAATAATAAAAGTAGAAAGAAATCTCATTTTTAAACATTTAAGTACAGAAGAAGGAAATAAAAAACCATCAAATTTGTTTAGAGATATGTCATTTATTTGCCCATTTATTTATTTATTCAACAAACAAGCCAGGCACCCTCCTAAGTAATGGAGATTCAATAGTGAGTGAAAAGAAAAAAACCATCATCTCTCAGAGGGCTTACATTCTATGAGGGAGAGAGCATGAATAAGGAAAGTATAAATAAGTCATCTGGTGGTAAGTGCTATTTTAAAAGGTTATGTGAGGGGGTAAGGAGAGGAAATATTGGGATAAGGCTGGAGGTCTTTTTTTTTTTTTTTTGTTAAGAAAAGCAGACTGCCACTTGCAGTGCCTCATGTACATATCTGGAGTCTTGGAAGCTTGACTACCCTATGCTCTCCTACAAATTCATCTTGGGAGCTTTCTTAGAGGTTCAAGCAGGAGGGCTGGGGGTCTTTCAACATGAGTGGTCATGTGGGGAGATGATACACAGGTAAATCCCTAAAGAAAGTGATGGCACTGCCACATGGAGCATTCCCAATAGAGGAAGGAGTAGGTGGCAAAGGCCAGAGGAAAGGAACACAAGGGGCTGGAGGGGCTGAAACCAATAGTTTGAGAAGAGTGGTAGAGAAAACCTTCAGAAACAAAGCAGAAATGTCAAGGAGGATGGCCTCTGCAGGCCAGTACTAGAACTGGCTATATTTTGCAGGCTTTGAACAGAGGAATGACATGATCAGACATATTTTAATGGTTCACTCTGTATGTTGTACTGAGAAAAGAGCACAGAGGGTAGAAGAGCTGAGGCAAGCACCCCAAATGGGGGATCTTCTGTGGTGACCTAATTGGGAGGTGACAGAGAAGCAGTTGGATATGGACAGTGGTCAGATTTGAGACAGCTTGAAAGGAGAGGTGAATGGATTAGCTGCTGGATTGGCTGTGGGTATGAAAGGAAGAGAGATGTTCAGGAAAGATTTGACCTGAACAACTAGAAGAATGGGGTTTCCCT